TTACAACTAGATCTGTATGTGGCCAGAATTACAGAATGGGCTCATTGAGGAGAAGTATATTTAGAAAAACACAGCTTGTCTCTTCTCCTGCTGCTGCTTCTCACGTGTCTGTACTGAAATATTCCAAAGAACAAGGGCAAAGTGGAATGTGAGTCCATCAAAGAAGCTGAGTTTTTCGGTGGAGAGGCTCTGTTGAACATCAGAGAAGGAAAAATATGTTTGTGAGTAGAGAGAGTTGAGAGCCAGGGGTGGTGTGGATGGAAGGAATCAGGGAAGGGGTATCAGAAGAGGGGGAAATTGGCCTTGTGAGCAACAGGCTTCTTGTTGCTCCCTGTTGTTCTCAGGAGAGCAGGACTTTGGACAACCTTCCTAAATGAAATGAAGCAGGTGTGGTCTCTGGTGTGGTTTATTTTAGGGTTTGGAGTTGGGTTGTTGGGTCTGCTCAGTGCAAGTGGTATCAGGTGTTGGAATATTTACCTGCCACTGCAATAATCAGCTCATGGCACCCATCAGGGTGAATGGATGCTCTTGGTGTCAGAGCAGATAGGATGTGATCATTGTTGTGTTAAACAGGAAGGGAGTTTTGAATTGGTTTGGGGTTTTTTTCACTCCAGCAGAAAGCTGAGTGAGCATTTCATTGCCATCTTGGTAGAAAAATCAGTAATTGAGTGGGTTTGGAGTGCTGGGCTTGTTCTTGGGCAGGACTTGCATCTGGGCTTATTTCATTGAGTGATTCAAACGAAATTTTCAGGGCAAAATGTAAAAGTTGTGGTGGGAAATGAACAGAAATATTGAAATTATCTGGAAATAGTGCATTGTGTTCCTCTCTCCAGCCATCTCTATTGATAGGGCAGGTTTGCCAATTATCTGCAATAAAGCAGCCTTTTTATTTTTTTTACAGCAAGGCAGTGCTTTAATAGTTTAAAAGCCTTTTGTTGTGGTTACAAATTGAAAGTGTGGTGCTCTTTACAACAGCATTATTTTTTTTCCCCTTCTGAATTGAATTCATCTGTGTTTGAAATTCTTCCAGTTCAGTCCTGTTGCAGGCCCAGGGCACCCTGGAATGGGCAGTGGAGGATCTGGTTTATATCTGCCATTTCCCCAGGCTGGTTCCTGCCCAGACCTGGAGCTCCACTCGTGCTCTTGTGGAACAATTCTCCCAATCCTTCAGCTTTGCACCGTGGGGCTGCTCTGGGAAGGATGGGAATGAGAAATGGGAGAGGAGGGATACAGGAAGCCTTGGGAACCTTCCTGAAGAACTTCTGTGCTGGCACTGCTGGGATTTCTGGGCAGCCATGGAGGTTTGCTGGGCTCTTGCAGGTTGTCCTGGCACATGGAGTGTCCCTGATCTCTGTCACTGGAGGGAGCACCACGGCCAGGATGCTCTCAGGGATTGCTGGGCAGTGTCAGAGCCCACTGGGCACACCTGGTCCAACTCTGGTGTCCTGCAGGTCCTGGCAAGAGCTGGGAGAGCACAGTGGCTCCATGGCACAGGATGGGGAACTCTCCAGCATGAACTGATGCACCAGGCAGTGGAGGAGTGAGGAGGAGGAGGAGGCTGCAGGGTGGGCTGATGCAGACCCTGCCAACCACGTCCCAGCACAGACACATTTGGGTCAAATGGATTTCAAATCAATGGCCAGAAGGGTTTGGTGGTGCTGCTCCAGTTTGAGCTTGGCTTAGAGGTGGTTCAGGTGGTTCTTCATGAGCAAAGAACAGTTCAAACCAAATTTTGACTTGATTGAATTCTGAGATAAAATTAATTTAAGGATTTCCTGTGGTCCTGTGATGCTGGATCTCTAATTCCAGGATTGCATGGTTATTTTTGATGGATCCCTTGTGTTCCAGGCTGTGTAGGGAAGCCAGATGCAGTGTGCCCTGAGAATTATCCAGCCCTGGGTCTCTCCTCCTGCCATTTTCTCCATCTCTCAGTCTTTGTTTTTACATCTTCAGCCTGGACTATGTGAGAGCTACACTAGGAGGAGATGCTGTTCTTCCTTGTTTATTTAGAGATGAAAACAAATCTTCTGTCACTGAGTTCTGTCCAGTCTACCAGTGTTTTATTTCTCCCCTGAAACTCACTTTTCAGTGACAAGAGAATTTTGGCTTCCCTTGGGAGGAATCTGCTGCTCTTGGCAGTCAGGAGAAACTCAAACACGACCCCAACCAACCCTAACATAAGGAAACAAAAATCAGCTCAAAAGGAAAATGCTTTCAAAACATTGTGTGCCTCTTTGTTGAAGGGGATTGCAGCAGATCTGTGCAATCACCTGTCCTGTTGTGGCTTATCTGCAGATTTGGAAGCAAAGTGAGCCCTTTCCAGTTTTGCAAACTGAAAAGATTTGTTGTGATCTGATCCGTGCTCCGTGTCCAACCCAATGTGAAACATTCTGCTTTGGGGAAGCTTCTTTCTTGGTCTGTTCTTCTTAACTTGTGCTGCTGTAAATTGGAAATGAAGGCAGGATTCAGAGAGGCTTTGGGGCTCATTTGCAGAGGGAGGGAAAGGGAGAAGTGTCCCACCCTGTTCTCTCATTGCCCTGGTGTTCCCCTGTAAGGCACAGCACAGGAGGCAGGTGACAAGGACACACTTCCCTCTCTTCCTGCTCAGTGCAGGGAATTAATGTGCATCTCTCTCTGCCTGACAGATTTCACCACCCCCTGGCCACTTTAATTCCTTCTGCAAATTGGAGCCTTTTCACCAGGAGATGCTGGGAGTGATCTGCTCCCAGTACCAGGAGCCCTGGGCATGGCACTGCCCAGAGAACTGGGAAACCTGAGTGCAACTCCCACATCTTCCTTTCATTCTTTTTCTGTGTAATTAACTGGGGTTTTTTCCTCATAAACACAGCACAGCCAGATTCCCATCCACCAGTCCTCTGAGACTTGCAAGAATCACTCTTCAATAATACTTTTCCCCCAAAAATCAGGGTGTAACAATAAAGATGACAGAGCAGGAAGCACCTTTGATTTTCCAAAAGAATCCAAGTGTCAGCTATGTCAGAGGAAGATATCTGACAGTGTTAATTATCACAGTTGTCAAAGCTGGCCTTAAATAATTATTGAACTGTGATCTTTGACCAGTTGTAGAAGCTTCTCTGCTTTTTCTGTGAATTTTTTTCCTTTAATAGTTTCTTGTGTGGGCATAGATGGCCCAGAGCAGTTTATCCATTGTTTGCTGTGTAACAACCTTCTTTCATTCAGATATATTCAATATTACCCGAAAAGTTTAGTTCTGTTTCTTTATTTCCTCATTGACAAGCTGATGTTAAACTATAGCTTTTGTGATATTTTGGTTGAGCCTGCTGCAACGAAAGAAATGCTGCCTTAATTCTAAAGACAACATTTAGTTTAATTAATTGATCTTTAGTGATGTAGGTAAAGTGATCTGTTGATGAGACATCAAGAAGTTTCTTCTATGAAAAGAAATTTCTTCCTATAAAGAGCAGTAGGTTGGGTGAGTGCTTGTATGAACACAGATAAATGCTCTGGTTTGACACAACCACCAATCTTGAAAGGCTGAAAAGAACCAGTTTGAAGTTTTGCCATGATGTAATTTAGGCTTGTTCCTGATCTCCTTTTTCCTCTTGAGCCTGGCTCTCCTTGTGTGTTAGTTGCAAAGTGAATAGTGATAGTGGTAGCTCAGTTGTGTGGGTCACAGAATCACAGAATGAGCTGGGTTGGAAAAGACCTTTGAGAACATCAAGTCCAATCTGTGACCCAGCAGCTCCTCATCAACTAAACCATGGCACTGAGTGCCACATCCAGGGACAGGGACTCCACCACCTCCCTGGGCAGACAATTCCAGTGCCCAGTCGCTCTTTCAGTGAAGAATTTTTTTCTGATGTTTAACCTAAGCTTCCCTTGGTGCAGCTTGAGGCTGTGTCCTCTGGTTCTGTCAGTGGTTACCTGCAGAAGAGACCACCCCCCCTGGCTGCAGCCACCTTTCAGGGAGCTGTGGAGAGTGATAAGGTCACCTCTGAGTCTCCTTTTCTCCAGGATAAACAACCCCAGCTCCCTCACAGGGTTTGTGTTCCAAGCCCCTCACCAGCCTTGTTGCCTCCTCTGGACACACCCCAGCCCTTCCATGTCCTTCCTAAACCAAGAGCCCAGCACTGGGCACAGCACTGGAGGTGCAGCCTCGAGAATCCCTGCCCTGCTCCTGCTGGCCACACTGTTCTTGCAGCTCCAATTTCCATTTACCTGCCTGCCTTGGTAGACTTGGGGCAAAGTCCAAACCATGGGCAAAGCTGATGGTTTTGTGCCCAGAGGACAGGGGGAGTGTAACAGTGCTGGGAGTTTTGCACCACTTCATTAGTGGTTTGTCTTAGTCTCTTCTGCTTTTACTCAGAGCCAGGATTAACAAATACACGATGGAAATGGATTTTCTTGTGTTTGGGCTTGGCTGTTTATTAAATCTTACCAAAAAGTACAGAGCATTCAACAGCACTTCTAGCTACTTGCTAGAAGTAAGGAAAATGGAGCAAGATCCAGCTGCTATAAGGTCTCTGAAAGCTAAACAATAGTCCAATAGAGAATTAACACCTATATTATTTATTTTTTTAACCCAATAACCAAATTCCCAAGACCCTCAGTGTGATACTGACTGACTAACCAGAAACTACTGCCTGAAACCATGAAGATGAACACTGAAAAAGACAACACCGAAAATTTTCCATTTTGTCCCATACCTATTACTATACTATGAAAACCTCAAATTTAAAACTCTTTACTATGTGAAATCACACACTTCTATTTAGTTACACACCCATGATTTTAACTCCATCAATCAAATTTGGGAGCCTTCTCCAAGGCCTCAGGTCTAAAGCAGTGTTCTCCAGGGATTCAGTGACAGAAAGCACAGAAAACTCAAACCCCCCAGATTTGTGGGATCCAACAGAGGAGGATCAACCTGGGGGACGCTGTTTGAACCCATCCTTGTTCCTTGTGCTGCAGCCACCTCCTGGCACATGCCATGGGGTGACTCTGCCCTTGTTTTGCAGGTACAGCTCAGGGGAGGTGAGGCTGTGGGACACTCGCACCTGGGACTACACAGCTCCTGTGCTGGCAGCAGTGGCAGGGGCTGGAGCCCTGCCACACGTCTCCTTTGTGAGGATAAACAGCTCCCTGGCCGTGGCAGCCTACGAGGACGGTGAGCAACCACAACTCTCCTCCCTATTAAAACAACAGCACCAAAAAAAAAAAAAAAAAAAAGAAGGCTTTACAAAAATGAAGCAGCTGTGCTCAGCTTTTTGTGTGTCTGTAATCCTGTGTATCCACACACACGCACACACTCTTGCTTTTATGTGAGAAAGTTGGCCAATAACCCTAAATGCATTAGGAGGCATTGGAACATAGCACCCATTAAAACTGAGCTTTAATTCCTACTGGAGCTGCTGCATAAAGCTTGAGTGCCAGGCTGTAGTCCAGCCAAGCTATCTTAAGCAAATAACTTGTTTTGCTATAAAAATATTAAATATTCTTCCACCAGCCTTTTCCTCTGGCCAAAACTCCCTTGGGGTGCTGTGGAGCTTTGTTATGGGGCTGGTGGTAAACTTGGATGTCTGATTAATCCCCATCCCTCTCACTCTTGGCATGGTTTGTGGATGCACTGAAGTGTTGGTTTGTAGTGCTGGGTTGTTATTATATACTTGGATTTAAAGAAATGAAAGATTTGACCTAATATTTAGTGAAACCCTCATAAAATCCTGGTTGTGTGCATTGTTTTAAATATCCTTAGAGGATTTCTATAATGGACAACGAGAGCCAGAGACCAACATCTTCTGGATGTGGGAACAGCAATTAAAAAAGTCAGGTTTGGACAGTGCTGGCTGACTGGGATTCGAAACTGAGGGGCTCAGGCAGAGCTCAACTCTCATCATCTTTCTTCAAAATGTATAATCTGATACTTAAAATGTCTCCTTGGGTATAAATAAAGAATATTTGTAAGTTTAGAGAGCTTTGTATACATACTGTCTTTGATCCTGGCATTTCTACAGGTGAAAACAAAACAGAAGGTAGATAATCCAAACAGAATCCCTCACCCATACTTTTATTTTAAAAGTAAATTAAATGCTTTATGTGCTTTGAGATTCTCAACATCCTTAACTGTTTTTCTAGTTTGGATCAGGCCAGGATGGTTTTCTGTGGGTAAAAATTGTTAATAGGCAACATTTTCTGACAACAGCAAATCTGGTGTTATTAATATTATTTACTTGAGTCATAGGAAATTATAGCACAGGTTTAAGTGCTGTCTCTTTTTCCAGTGTGCCAAACAATGACTAGCAGAGGGTCTTTTGTTTGTTTTCTAGTTTCCCACTGACTAATCTAATAATTTGTCTGGGTTTTTTGCCTGTCATATCCCTTGCTGTCAGTGCTGTGACTGAACTAGTTTGCATAAAGCTCAGCGTCTTTTATTCTTTCGGGTAGAAATTTTAATAGGCTCTGTGATATGGCAGTTACTCTGATTCGAGAAGCCTTGGTCAGAATAGATTAGTTTCTATGGGAATAGGGAGATAAAAAGCCCCGTTTTAGCAGTGTTTACTAACTGCAAGCTGAAAGCACATATTTACAGTTTGCTGGAGAAGAGTTATTTAAAATTTTGGGGAGGGAGCGGACGGCTTTGAAGATAATGTGTTTGATTGTTCTTTGTTGTACTTTTCCAGCTCCCTTTCCTCTTTGTTTGTAAGTTTGACTAACCCAGAGAAACCATCTGCTCGTGTTGGAGGTGGTGCTGTCAGGCAGTCTAGACTTCCCTGGCAAATCCCTGGCTCGTCCCGAATCCATCGGCTGCTCGCGGTCCCGCAGGGCTCCGGCAGCGCTGGCCTTGGCTGCCCGTGCCAGGGAAGGGCTGAGAGCACAGCCTGCCCTGCTCTGCCCTGAGCTGCCTCCCCCAGGCACTGCAGGCTCAGCAAGGACGCAGGTTTGTCCTCCCCGGCCGAAGGGGGTTGTCACTCCACAAGGAAAATGGGATTGTGGCTCCTGGTGAACGTTCCCAGCAGCACCAGCCTCGGAGAAAGGGCTGCAGGGAGAAATGGATGGGGAGCAAATGAAGTTCCCTGTGCCCGTGCCAGCGCTCAGTGGGGGCACTGGATGTACACCTGGGGCAACGGGACTTGGCAACTCGAGCCACAGTTGTGATTTTTGAATTCCAACCCACTGGCCTCATATTTCTTCTGCCTTGTTTCCTATTGTCAGCACTGGCAGTGCTCCAGTTTGATTTTACCACTAATTGTGTTGCACGTTACCGAACTGAAATGAATCAAATCAAAATGCTTTTCCTGGAGCATTAGATAAAGCAGGCGAGGGTTCTGGGTAATGAGCAGATGCTGCTAATGCAGGGACAGGAGAGGCCTTGCCAGGACTCCATCTGCTCCATGCTTGCCTGCCTTTGGCTGGGAGCCACAGCTTTTGGGAAACAGCAGTCTACTTCAGCCATCCCTCTCCCCCCTGTGCTCTGGAGTTGCATGGTTTGCCTGGAAAACAATGTGCAGCAACAGGAGAACAGAACTTTTTCCTGCTGTCCTTTAAATGCCATGGCCACCCTGGTGCAGGCACGGTGGGGAACACAGCCCTGCTGCCCTGCTTGTTCCTCCTCAGACCCACTGTGAGGAGCTGGTGGCCCTTCCCAAGCTGCAGAGTCACTCCAGGCAGCAGAGGAGGGTGGTGCTGCAGGGATCAGAGGTGCTCCTGCCTGCTGCAGGCTCCAGGGGGGGAATTCTGGCACTGCTGCTTTTTGCAATTCTGTGCTCTTGTCCTTTCTGAAGCTCCTAAAGCTGCCCGAGGGTGAGGGTGTAGTCCCTTCTGCACCCTCTTTGCAGAGAGATGGATTTGGTGCCTTTCCCTGAGAGCAGGAGCATTCCAGGCTGGTTGGAGTGAAGGAAAAAATCTTAGAAGAAAATTGGAGCAGGGGCTGGGATGTTTATTCCCAGTGGTGGCTGTGGGTGCAGGTCTCTTGGTTTGGGTGGGTGGAGTGGGATTTCCCATCCCAGTGATCCCATTCCCCACACTGGGAATGGAACAGGGTCTGTGCCTTCTCTGAGGGACTGTCCAGGCATGGTGCTGTGTGGAAATCCCTGGAAGAAGGGGGATGGAGGTAAAATCTGGGATCACTTGGTGGGAACTGGTGTAATAATAGTGAGGGCAAGGCTCTGTCACTGAGGTCTGATCTCTCTCTTCTTGTACCCTCAGGACCTGCTGGAAGTGAAAATTAAATGTAAAATGTTGGTTAATGAACTTCAAGTATCTACTAAGGTTAAATTGGCTCCTCCCAGCTAGAAATGTTTTTGGGAAAAACTCAAAATTCAGAGCAACAAGTTTTGATACTCCTGGCTGGTGCTCATTTCCACCCATACTTTTCTTATACTGCTTGTACTTCACAGAGATATGATATAGCTGAAAATTATAAGGAAATAAATTAATATTCCCACTTTGGAGTAAAAAAAACCCCACCTGTGAGGAGCCATAGAATGACAGAATAACCTGAGTTGGAAGGGACCCACAAGGAAGTTCCAGTCCAAGGGTTTTCAAAAGGTAAAAAAGAGTTTTATTTTGTTTAAATCAAGGTGGCAAGGTCACAACTCTGAAACAGGACAAACATCATGGGGATGATGTGAATTCAGGACCTTCTGGCCTTCCCACACCATTGTGTTTAGAAGCTGAAGTGAATGAGCAGGAGCACGTAAAGTGAATGTGTATGAGCACATTTGGATTCCCTGCTCCAGCACAGACAAAATTCTGAGGTTTTAATTTTTCTTTTTTTCAGCTAATGCACATGTAAATTGCTTTACATGTCTTCCAAAGCTGGCAGCAGCCACCAGCTGACAGCAAATGCTGGTTTTAATGGGAAAGAGATGATGCAGTGGGTCTTTAGGATCTGAGCTGGGATCTTGCACACCCAGATCCAGCCCTCCCATCCCAAGCTCCCTGAGCAGGCAGCTCAGGTGGGCAGTGCCCTGTGCTGTGCCCAGCTCAGGAGGGGCTCAGACAGGCTGTGTGACACTGCCAGGCACAGCCAGGATCATATTTACAAATGAGATTTAACACTGTTTGCTCCGTGTTTGTGCTGCCTTGCCCTGTCGGAGGATTAGGGGATTTTAAAGCAAAAGAGATACTTGGGTTTGGTTAATTTTGTAGCAAATGTGTTGCCTGTAATAGCAGAGAAAAACCTGTGTGAAAGCAGATGTAACAGCTGCTTTTGCAGGATGTCTTTTGTGCTGCCAGCACTGCTGATGGAGAGAGAGGAGCCTCCAGCCTCCCACCTTTGACACAGCAAGAGCTGTGCAAGGCTGGTGATGCTCCCAAAATTTGGACTTCAGGCAGGATCAGCACTGCACTCTCTGAGGCACAACAGCCTCGTGTTCAATGTTTTATCCAAGGACTTTCCAGTCTGGAGTGAATGGCAAGAAATGGATCTTTCATCAGGCCATAATTCAGAAATATATGGGTTGGGAGTAGAATTTTTTTGTCAAATCTGGGGCAGGGTGATAAAGGAGGCTGGTGCAGTGATTGTCACATTGAGTGTCAGCTTTACACCATCAGCAGCAGCTTCTTGCACCTCTTGAGCCACAGTGACTTTCCAGCTTGCTCCTAAAATAAAATTCTAAATAATTTTGAGGAGTTATTGTTAGAGTTCAGTTGGAATCATCACAATTATGGTGCAGCTTTGAGCGTGCTGTGAAAGCACTGCTTATAATTTGGATTTAATGACCTCCTAACTCTAGTAAGTTTTCAGTATTAAAACAAATGAAGAAGATAACGTATGGCTGCAACCTTAACTTCACCTCAGCAGAGGAATTGCTGTGGAAATGAGGTGCTGGGCAGTGCTAGAGGCAGGAAGACAGACTGTGGAGAGCAGTGATCTCATCTGCACTGCTAAATCTTAGCCTGATTTTTTTTTTTTTTTTTAGTGCCATACTAATAACCTGAACTGGAATGGTGTGGGATTTTTTGCTCTTACCCAAACATGATTGACTGTTGCAAGGACTTGCACACTCATAAATACCTTTTGCTGTTTCTGCAGTGAAATGCAGAATATTCTGAGCAGCACTTTTAGACCTTATAGCAGTTTTACCTATTTATAAATCCCGTGGATTTTTCTGTTTTCCTTCTGACCTGATCCTTGTGGGTCCCTTCCAACTCAGGATATTCTTTGAACTCTCCTTGTTACTCTTTATGCTCCTTCATCACATGTGAATTTGTGACCTTACAAATCACTTTTTTTTTTTTTTTTTTAGATTACCAGGAATTTATTGCCCATATCATGTATCAGATGTTGCACGCTCTGTGTTTACCTGGTTAAAATCTTTTATTTTGGACAGGTTTTGTCATGTTTGAGATGCAGTAATAGTAATAATAATATAGTGACTTGCTGCCCAAAATTAGAGAGCAGAACCCTGAGCTTTGGGTTTCCCAGTTTGCTGTTGTGTTTAGAAATTTTTTTTTTATTTTCCAGAACTTTTGTCCATTTAGACACTGTTAAACCCAGTGGAATGTTCATCACAGATGTATAAACAAAAGGCTTCACTGAAAGCAAATCATCCTCCCTTTTCCCCTTCATCAACCTGGTCTTTAATTGGGATAAATTTTCTGCTGAACAAAACTTGAAAATCCTCCTACTTGGAGGAGCCTGGAAGCCAAATCCATGGTCTGACACAAAAGTCCAGTTCTAAATCCCTTTATGTGATCACACTTTATCACTGATGGGGTTTTTGCCTGGCTCCATCATCTCCCCTGCACAGGAGGCTCCCCCATGGCTGTGTTTTGGGGAGGAGGTGTCTCAGCCCAGCCCTGGGCTGCAGTGCACACAGCCTGTGCTGCCCAGTTGGATTTGTTAACTGGTTTGAAGCTGTGTGCAACCAGTCTGCTTTGCAAACCCAGTTCAGCAGTTATTTACCTTTCAAGCAATTAACATAATTACCATTATGCTAAGAAGTAATTTTGGGAAGTTCTGCTCTGAGCCCTTACGACTCCATCGGGACAGTTTTAGTCGGGACTTATCTTTTTGATGGAAGCCTAATTGCAGTTTTGGCTTTGTGTAAACAAACAGAGGCGGCTAATTGTTTAGGCAAATAGCAGATTAATTTAAATATTCATCCCTAATAAAACAAAAATGGTCCCCATTATGGTACTCATTCCCATGGTGAGGAATATAAATATTCAGTGGGAGTGCCATTAGACAGGGATCTTAAGGATTATCTGCATTATTTCACATTGGTAGCACTTTCCAGATACCAAATAATCTTTACAAAAGCTACCATAAATCAATTTAAACTCATTTAGCTACCATTTCACTATGTGCAGTTTCATTACCACACTCTTGCTTCACCTCCTCTGGGACTGGGGAGGAGTGTTTGCAAACTGGCAGTGGTGCCCATCCACAGCTGTCTGTCAGGGCTTTTATGTCTCCTTCTGAAGGAAGAGCTGCCATTAATCATTTCATCATTAACGTGCTCCACTGGAAGGGAGGCTTCTCCAGCCCTGCCTGTCACGTTGGAAGATTGCTTCTCCTTAATTCAGTGCAAAGGTGGCCCAGAAGGCTCCAATTCCCTTCTGTTCCCTCCTGATTGCCTCAAGTTGCTCCTACTCAGATTATGAGGCTTTTAAACAGAGAACTGGGGAGCCAGGCTGGCAAAAATGCAATTACACGTATGTTTTCTTTTGACTTCCACTCCTTTATTCTTCAGGATTTGTATTCTTTAGCTTTTCTCTGTGGTGACCAGGGACAGGACCCAAGGAATGGAGCTGTCAGGAGGTTTAGGAGGAGCTCAGGGCAAGGTTCTTCCCCCAGAGGGTGCTGGGCACTGCCCAGGCTCCCCAGGGAATGGGCACGGCCCCGAGGCTGCCAGAGCTCCAGGAGCGTTTGGACAGCGCTGCCAGGGATGGACAGGCTGGGATTGTTGGGGGGTCTGTGCAGGGACAGGGGCTGGATCCATGATCCTGTGGGTCCCTTCCAGCTCAGGATATTCTGTGATTCTGTGAGTCATGCCTCAGAGTGACTTAAAATTAGAGTATGGGTTCTTCCTCTCTGGTTTTGGGGTAATTGAGAGCCTCTGTATAATAGAACAAAATTTCAGGTGTCTGTTTACATCTGATCTCCAAACATGGAAATGTGAGAAAAGTCAGAGTCTTCCTCAAGGTAGCTTCTAATCTTATTGCAAAGTCAGAAATTAGGAATTAGGTACAGAGGAATAGAGCCTGGAATCTCAGAATCACAGATGGATTTGGTTTGGAAGGGACCTCAAAGCCCACCCAGTGCAGGGACACCTTCCACTGTCCCAGGCTGCTCCAAGCCCCATCCAGCCTGGCCTTGGACACTTCCAGGGATCCAGGGGCACCCACATCTGCTCTGGGTCCCTGTCCACCCTCACAGGCAGGAGTCCTTTCCCAGTATCCCAATTATACATCCCCTCCTTCAGCTCCAGGCCAGAGCACATCAGTTTTCCTGTCAGTCTGTCCTGCCCTCATCTCTTCCCCGTGTATTCCTTTGTTGCAGCAGATTTGCTGCCGTTTAACCACTCTTTGCAAGTGCAGTCAGAGCTGAGCTAACTGCAGTGCCCATTTCCCTGTGCAGGCACTGTGAGTGTTTGGAGCCTGCTGCTGGGCCAGGAGCCCATCCATCACTTCCAGCACAACCAGCACATCCAGGCCCTGGCGCTGGCCCCGGGCGGCGCCGCCGTGGCCACGGCCTCCGGCTTCCAGGTCAAGGTGGAGAGCCCTGACGACAAAGGATTCTGGCAAACCTCAGGAACCTTTGAAATCCAGAAATTGGTGAGTCTCCAGGCTATTCTGCTTCCTTCCAGGATCTACTAATTATTTTTGGTAGGGTTAAGATGGTTCTTATAAAAGACTTACAGCCTGAACTAGATCAGGGCGTTACCAGCTCGAGGCTCTGACTTTGGAGCCAGGTTAAAGGATGAGTCTTCCATCCCTGAAGAGCAAGGGTGAACTGCTGGCTTAAGCTAGGAGTGAAAATGAACACAAGTCCATATGGTGCAGGAGGTTGGCTGGGTTTAATTTTTTTTTTTTTTCTTTTTTTGTCAACAGTAAACTAAGTTGGCTCATTTTGTAAATCAGTTTTCTCGCATAGAATTGGAGCTGAAACTCCAGGTCTCATTCCAGATCCACACTATCTGATTAATTCTGAGGCAGGATATTGCAGGCAGCCTAATAGTGTCACTTGTGAAGCTGTAACTACTCATGCAGCTTCTTTAGGTTGCACCTTCTGTCACTGAAGTTTTGAGAGTTGCAATTAAAACTGATTCTCTGAAGTTTTATTTTGTCTCAGAGTATCAGCATTTGTTTGAAAGGAGAAGGAGGAGTGTAGGAATAATTGAGTCTTGCAGCCTCTCTCCTGTAGGAGGAAGCTGTGCAGTTAAAGGGTGTGAAGTGATTTCAACCACTCCTGATTAATCCCCCCTCCAAAGCTAAGTCAGTCTTACAGTTCAGAAATAAGCTTGATACTTGGTCTTTGTGTGGAATTAATCCATAGCTGAGATGATTCAGGACACACACGAGTAGTTTGTTCAGTTCAGCATGTGGCACTAGTGATGCAAAAGAATTTTTGATTGTATTAGAATAAATTAAAATAAAAAATAAAATAAAAAGTCTGCTCTTTTTAGGTCAACTTCCTTAATCTGGTTCCAGATGTCACAGGGAGACCAGTGGCAGTGGCAGCTGCAGAGGACATTGTCTATCTCCTGAAAGCAGAAGATCCTGGCAGAATTCTGCACTCTGTCTATGGTCAGCCTGTCACCTGCCTCGATGTGGCTGCTCACCAAACAGCCTTTGGCATCAAAACCTTTGGCTGGTTATTGAATGAGCCCAACCAGGTATTGTAATTATTTTCTGATAAGATTTTGATACCTTTGTAATTAAGGAAAAAAGAGTTCACGCTGAGGACTCCAGCTTTTGACAGTAGAGAGGACAATTCACTGCAATAATCTGATGCTTTGTGTTCTTCTGTGGGCTGAAGTGAGGATTATTGCTCAGCCAGCTGAGTTCTCTTTGCAACCTCTGCTCCTCAGCAAGTCCCAGCTGAGTTTATGCTGCATCAATGGCATCAGGGGGAACTCATTTCAGAAACCCACCTAAAAACCCCAGTAAACAACCCAGAATCCCAGAGCATCCCCCAGCCCTTCTGGTGAGGGATCCTGAGCAGTGTCAGGCAGATGAGCACCTTTAGGAGGAGGATGCTTTTTGTGCTTTGCTCTTGAGAACTTGGCCAAACTGTGAAGAGATTTTGGTGTTTCCAGATGCCTTGGGAGGAGTTTCTGTCCCTTTCCTGCATCTTGCCTCCCTTTTCCACTCGCTGGTTTCATTCCATTTTTGTGTTATGCTTCAGGCTGCCAGCAGTGAGGGAAGGACAGTGCTGGAGAAGGGAGCAGGAGTGGAGCATCCAGGAGAAAGGAGCTGTGGTCTGCAGTGTAAAAATGCAGGATTTTCCTTGGCAAGTGCCTGGGATGGGAAAGCTTTATTTAGGACTTGCTCTGTAAGGAATAAATGTGTGCAGCTCCATCTCATTCCCCTTCAACTCCCCGTTCACCATCAATACCTCGAGGGCTGAGCTGCCACGAGCTGTGCTGTCTTTATTAATTCCTTGCTGTCCTAATCCAGCTCTTCTCCCTCCAGAGGTGGGAGGTCAGGAGGTAAAATTGCCTCATTTGGGGGCATTACCCCAGTGATCACTTCTGTGCCTCATAAAGAGCAGAGAAACCTCCCCAGGCTCCCAGTGCCGCTCAGCAAAGCCGGACATCTTTCCTAATTTAGTCCTGAGCTCCCTGGCTCTTGCTGGCAGATTGTATTAAGCCTGGTGCATCCTAATCAGGGAGATGGGCCCAGACAGCCGGGTGGTGTGACAAGGACACTGCCTTGGCACTGCTGCTCCAGCTGACATCACGCCGGAAATTAATTACTAATGTCTATTATGATAATTACCGGCCTGCGCAGACGTGAAGGGACTTTGCAGTGGCTGATTACGCTGGGCACACGGTGACAATCTGTCTTTGGGAGAGCTCTCCAGCCTGGAAATGCAATCCTGGAGGATTCCAGCCCCATTGGCTGCTGCCTGTGTTTGTCCCCAGTTTGGGGTTTTCTTTGTTTTCCTCTGGGTTATTATTTTCCTTCTTGCAATCCCTGCCTAGTAACCTGCTTCCTGATGAAAACACTTATGGAAACCATCATTTTCCTCCCTCTCTCTCTCTTTTTTTTTTTTTAAATAATTTTCTAATTTTAGCCACGTTTGACAGCAAAAGCTGAGATCTGAGGCATAAATTTTGTGGGAACTTTCATGTTGGAGAGGAGGAGAACATCAAATCCGTGGCCTAGACTTGGCTCCTGTCAAATGAGAGACACTCGTGCAGAAGGGAGGGGAGAACAGAAATGCTTCATCCCTGAGAAGTTCAGCTTGCACTTTAGTAGCACCAGACAACCCAAATATGATGCTGTTTCCTGAAAGTTCTTCTGCTTTAGTGCTCCCTGAACTCTTTTTTGAAGTTAAGCTATGAAAGATTTTGTTGTTTCAGCTCTGCTAACTCAACATGAAACCCCTTAAAATCCAAATTCTGAACTCTGAGTTCCCATCTAGGCTTGTCTATGGCTAATTAAATCGTCCAGATAATGACCCGTGGGGGAAATCCTGATTCCCAGGGCATCCAGGGGACATTCCTTGAGGGATGATGTCAGGCCAGTGACACATCCCCCTTGTCAGGCAGTTGGGAATCCTGTGATCACAGAGCTGCTGCAGCACCACCAAGGCTGGGCATTCACCTGTGGCAATTTTGGGTTTAAACACCATGGGAGAGATTAAATCCACAGATTGGCTTTGGTCCTCTTCATGTCAGCATCTAAACCTCCTAAGGAGGCAACAGGATCAGTGTTAGGCTTGACTTCATCTGGTTTCTGATGCAATCTGGATCTGGCTGGAGCTGTTCTCTTAGCTGGTGCCTTTATAACCTTTCCTGAATCTGCTATCAGGTAAGTCTGGTCTCCTGCTATAGCTCAGGTGAGGTTTGTGGATTATTTCTATGAAATTTAGAGGTGTTTATTCTTCTGAGATGAGGGGGAAAATCCTAAACCACAATTTTCTCCTGTATTTCAAATTCTGTTCAGAATTTTTAACATATTCAGCAGTTCTTGGGGATCTGAGATAATGAACAAAGGAGGATTTGGGGCTTTTTCTACCAAAGAAGCTTCATACATCATGCATGAGAATTTTTATTCCAGATATTGTCAGGCACAGTTTGGTTGTGGGTTTGGTTGCTTTGTGCACAAACGTGAAGCTGATTCCAGGGCTGGTGGATGGGGAAGAAAGGAGGGAAGGGATGATTTTACAGCTTCCAGCTCAGAGGCAGAAGGCTGCATGTGCTGAGATCAGCTCTCTTGGGTGCTGCTTGTTAATGCTGTGGCTTTTGCAGCTCTTTGGAGCTGTGGATTGGCTTGTACTTGAGGAAAGGTGTTCAACCTCACCTGGCTCCTCTCAGCAGCCTGCAAACACTGCCTGGGTTTGCTCCTGGATTTCATGTTTCCATGGAATTCTTCAGCTGCTTGGAAACGTGAGCGTATCCAGTAGAATTAACCCCTGGTGTGAACTGATAGTGAGTGAAAACCAATTTAAATCATAGAATCCCAGAGTGGTTTGGGTTGGAAGGGACCTTAAAGCCCATCCAGTGCCACCTCTGCCATGGGCAGGGACACCTCCCACTGTCCCAGGCTGCTCCAAGCCCTGTCCAGCCTGGCCTTGGACACTGCCAGGGATCCAGGGGCAGCCACAGCTGCTCTGGACAACAGTAAATAATCCTTTAAATTCAGTTTCATACTTTACAGTCATTTTTGGATTATGTATTTAGGTCATGGCTGCTTTATGTGAGCTTTTACACCTTACTTACACCTTACCCTTCTAACTGAGAAGCTGCATTCTCTTTTCTGGTGTTGAATGTCTCCAGTTCTCATGGAGTTCCAAAGACTTCCATGTTTTTAATCTTAGTTTGTCTTGTTTAAAAAATGTGGTGTTTTCACTTCTATTGGCCTCCTTGACCCTTGTAAAGAGCCCAATTTTCAACAAATTCATCTTCATGAACTCTTGTTTTCATACCAGTAGAAAGGGCAGGGCTTGCTGGTGATTGAACAGATGGAACTTGCCCAAATGTCTCTTTTTGAGGAGCTGCAGGACTGCAGGGTGTTAGCAGATCTTTGCAGGTGTTGAAAGGTGTTTTAAGTGCCTTTTTCTTTCTAAAGTCTTTGGCACCACACAGAGAGGCAGAACTGTGTTGGCCACTATAAGAAAAAGAGACCAGCAAAGAGTGCAGAACTTTTCCATGTCTAAATTTTGCATGATTTATTGCTCAAACGCTCTAAATGACCAGGAGTAATTTGAAATAAAAGACTACATAAACTACAAAAAAATAAATCCATTTCTATTGGATGGCATTGAGGACATTTTGCTTTTTTCCCCCTGTTTGTGCTATAGTGTGAGTATCTCAAAATTGACATGGTGGCTTAGGTGGGTGCCTCAGGTTTAGAAAATCCAGCTGCTAGGATGTACCTCGAATATTCCAGGTGATGAAACCAAGGGATTTAATTCAGTTTTTAAGGTTCACCTTGCCTCCCTTCTCCATGGGAGAAGACTTTCCTGGGCTAGGGAGGTTTTCTGAGTGTGTGGGTGGTTCAGTGGGTAAACACAACATCCTCCCCACGGGCCCTGGAGCTTTTAGCCCAGGCTTCAGCCACGAGTCAAACGAGCCTGGTGACCCCACTGCAGGTCCTAGCAGACATCTGCCCACATGCCAGCCCATCCCAGGCTGGCAGAGCCCCGGGGGCTGGCAGTGCCCAGGGCTGCAGGTGCATTGGCAGCACCAGCACAACGCTTGGCTCCCCTTCTTGCCACCAGCCTGAAGCCTCACTCTGGAACTCCAGGCACAGGGAAACTTCAAAGGGAAAAGCCAACTCCACTTGTCTTTAGCTCTGTGTGTGACTTGTGCAGCAGGTGTTGGATGGGGAGGAGCAGGGAGCTGCTTTTCCTGCTGGGTTTGCTGGGAGCTGTGCGGGCTCTGCTGGGTTTGGGTTTTCAGGCATTGCCCGGTGCATGTGTCTGCCAGGAAAAGTCACCTTTAGGATGGCATGAAAGTCAATTTTCCACATGCTCAGAGAAGCACTCGTGTTCCCAGCTCCCCACAATGACTTCTATCTGGCAACAACTTGAAAAATAGTCTCTCTGGCTGATTGTCAAAAATTACATCATATTGGAGTAAACTGCTTTTAAATCAAACATCCATTATTCATGGATATTAACTGCTTTTTTATTTATTTATTTTTTTAACTGGCTGTTTTGTGTTTGATTTACTCTTTTTCTTCCTCTCTGATTGTCTGTCTCCCTCAGCTGCTCCTTTTAAATCTTAGCTCATCTTGAAATTTATGGAGCCAGAACACTTATCTGTGTGCACAAGTATCAGTGTGCTGACCTTGCATTTGTTAACAGTCAGATTGTTTTTGTTGTTGTTGCAGTGTTATGTGCCATATTTACAGTAGGCAATCCAATACATTTGCACTGGGAAACTGTGCCCTTGGGGCTTGTAAACTTTAAAAATATTCTTGTTTTCCACATCACTTTAGAAATAAAATCCAAACTTGCAGCAGTGTGTACCATATGTTGTCTTTAATTTGATGAGTTCCCCCCCAAATGCATATTCCTGCTTTTGTAGGTACCCTCTGGATTGGATGGATTTGACCTAAGCAGAAACCAGATCTCTTTTTATTTGTGGTGGACTTGGAATTTCACAACCCCTTTTTCATTGGCAATATTTGTGTGTATTCAGGCAATGTTTTTTCCAATTGGCAGAGGGCTGGACAGAAGCAAAGGGAAGAAAAATAACCTGAAAATAAATGTAAATTCAGTTCTCAGGCTTGCTGCTTGATCCTCTGGCACTCTGACCAACTCAGGGTGGTTTTTGTTTTACTTAAAATGACAGAAACCTCAATCCTGGACAATTCTTTCTGAAAAAGTGGTTCTGTAATGGATCCTGTGTGTTGTTCAGTGAGAAGGATGTAGGGTTTGAGTGTGGTTTTACAATGTGCTTTTTGCTGATATTTGTGATCCTCCCTCCAATACTGCATCTAAATAAGAACCAAATACACCCCACACACAGAGGGATTCACCCAGTTCTGAGACACAGCTCAGTCTGGGGGCAGGAATGGGCTGGGAAGGGAAAGGGAAAAGGAGAAGGAGAGGGAAAGGGAAAGGGAAAGGGAAAGGGAAAGGGAAAGGGAAAGGGAAAGCAGCTCTTCCCCAGAACAGGCGTGTGCTGGCTGCCATCCAGGACAGTGGGATGGACACCCCAGCTCTTGTTGAAAGTACCACAGGCTCTTTGATAACAAGTGCTCAGGGATTTGTTGTTTTAATGTTCTGTCCAAAAAAGACATCTCCAACAACACAGCATCCCCAAAACACCTGCTGGGATTTTGGCCATGCATGGAAGAGTTCCATCAGCAGCATTTCCTTCAGTTCCTTGGCTTTTCTTGGAAGTGTCTCAAGCAGAGTGCATCGACCACGCTTGACCTCACTTAGCTGTGAGATGTAACAAAGCTCACAGCTCAGCTCTTCTGGCTCCAGAGCTTTTAATTCTTTGGGAATTAATTTCAGGCATCTTTCATGAGTTCTTGGACAGCATTTAAAGAGAGTTCCCTGTCCCCACTGCTCTGCAATTCCATGCAGAACAGTAACTTTGCCTTTTTTCCTCGTGAATTTGCCAGGTTCCCGGCGCATCCCTCCCGGAGGAGCTGAGCCGTGCCCAAGTCGCCCAGTAAAGAGGGGAATTAGTCTAATGCACTGCCTTAACAAAGGGGAGACTATGAGCATGAATAATTAATACCCCCAGTCTGTGGCAGTGGGCTGAAATGAAGTCCCATTTGCTCAGCCTTATTAAAAGAGAGAGAGAGAGAGGGAGGGATGGTAAAGGTCGTTAAGGGACTTGTAACAGGGAAAGGATCGCCTCGGAGATGGATAATGTGTTTGCTAATCTCTGTGGTCTTTAACTAAACAGAATGCTGGAGGTGCTCTGGCTATTCCTGGCTTGTTGAATTATTAAGCATTCAGGGAGATTGCCTGGCTCTTGGCCAACAACTTGGACTTTTCATTTGGCCAATGTTAATGGGTGACACTTTTTATTTGGGGCGTTGGATCCCAGTGCTGGCTGCACGGGGTCTTTAATGCTTTTCCTTGCTGAGGTCCCCGTGGGGCCAGGGCTGCTCGTTAGTGTGTTATCCCAGGCTTCTTCATTTCACACCCAAATGCTCTTGGTTCACTTCCCTCACTTCAGTACCTATTAGGTCACTGGGCTTGGGTGTCCATTATAGGATTATAAATACCTTTAAAAGGGTAATCCCCTTGCAGTGTGCATTATAGGATTATAAGCCTCCCAGAGATCTTATACTTTATCTGCCCTTTAACACACAGGCCCTTATTTCAAGTCCCTATTGACCAGGTATTTCCATTCTCTCTCCTTGGCCTTTGTAAGGAAAATCCTTCTTGCCTTGGGATATTACAGGAGAGCTCATCAGAGGAGAGCTCATCCAGCGACTTCAGAATTGTCATCAGCATGCTTTTAAATCCCTGTCTCCAGGAAATTATTATTCACACTGAAGCATTCTGAGTGCTTTTAGCTTCTTTACTTATCAGTTGGTCAGAATAAGGGCTTGAAATTCATTTGCAGGTCATAAAACTGCTTAAGACAGGTTGAATTTTGAGATAGGCAAAACGTGGATACTGAGACTCACAGAGACTCTTCCAATGATGGGACTAATTGGTTAGAAGGACATTTGTGCATGATAAAATTTAAAATAAATTTTATTTTAGCCACCAATCTTATTGATTATTGATGGTTAAAATAAACAATCTTTAAAAGAATAGAGATGGGCATGAGAAGGGATTGAAGGGAGCAGGAGAAGATGATAGAAGCTTTTCTTCCATTTTTGTGGGTGTGAACTCTTATTTTTGAACAGATTCTGAGATGCAGACACTTTAAATTGGTGATCACCTACAAGTTATGTGAGGAGAAAGAAGACATTTTTCCAAAGCTGTGAGCTTTGCCAGGGGGCTGCAGGCAGGAGAAAATGTAAGATGGGAAATGTTACATGGAATCTTTCAGTGCTACATGGAAGCAATTCTTCATTCCAGCCTTTCATGGCCATGGCTGGATGTTCAACTATGTATCCTATGTTTATGGCAGAGATGGGAGCTCTGGTCATTTAGATAAATTAATTAGTTTATGGATGTTCACTGCAAGTATCAGCCCCAGGGGACTTTTAAGAAATCAGCTTTTGGCCCTGTCCCCTCTGGACTTTTAACATCCAGCTGGGAAGGGCTCAACTGGGAGCTGAAATACCTCACTCCTGACCCCATCACTTCTTGTTCATAAGCTGAATTCAGCAGTTTATTGACTTTGTCTTTTGTTCCAAACTTTCCAAGGAGAAGTTTGGGTTGCCAGGCACAGATATTAATTTCCTTTGCACTGCAAACCCTTGGAGGTGCCTTTGCCAGGACATCATTATCTGTGGGTTTGGTTACTGAGCTGTTGGGATCTGGGCTGAAGTGAGAACAGGCTGTAAACTGCTTTTTACCTCAAACACCAACATTTCCACATAGTTTGTAGCAGCTTTTTCCTTGGGGTAGAAGTTTAAATTAATTTTTATTTAAATTTAACTTTCGTGTCCTAGATTTTCCAACAAAAGTCATCCTTGCTTTGGTTTTTTGGGTCTTAAGGATGGAAAATGCCATGTTTTTTGGGACAGCTTCACAAAGAACTAATTGGGATATTATAATTCTTAGGAACACCTAAGGGAGCTGGATGTGGATGTATTGATCCTAATAGAGAGCTGAAATATGTCTGAATTTACCTGGTCATTAACTGGGAGAATGGCAGGTGGAGGAAATCTGCAAATTCTCTGCCTCTCTTTGTCCTGATCCTCAAGATCTTTAAAGCTTTGCTTTGGTTGCCCAGAGGCCTCCATGACAAAATGATCCTCTCCTGCTCTCCTAATTCAGCTTTCAGATCTCTGAAATGGCACAGATAGGAAATAAAAGGCCAGGCAGCATCAGTGCTGCTGCTCTGGCAAATGTTGAAATAATACATCCAGATAGTGCAATGTTTATTGAGCTGCACGTGGCTATAATCAGCAAATTAGAAGTAAAGAATATTGATGTGACATTGACATGGCCATGCTGATGTTGCCATGGAAGCTCTGGGGTTTTTCTGATGTTTTAAATACCATTAAGTCTTTTCATGGTCACAAGGTTTCTTTTCATTTAAATGAGCATCACCATGAAATTGAATCATGTTTATGAAGTTATATAAGGCCAGGTGCACTGAGCTCCACTGGGCTTTGACCAGTGCATTTTTCTGCTTCTAAAAATACTCGTTCTCCTAAATTGAAAGGCCCAACTAGACAGATCTGATATGGCCCCACAGGAAGGACAGCAAACGTGATTAAACTGATTGAGGAGAGGAGTGGGAACGGACAGGGAACAACTCGTGCTTCTCATCCAGCCTCTGGTTGAATCATCTCGGATGCTGCCTAAAATCAGAATTGTTTTTCTGCCTTTCCCATCTGAGCTGCCACTTCAGATGTGACATTTCTCTGTGTGTGTGTGTGTGTGTGTGTGTGGCACAGGCTCTCAGCAGGGCTGTGGTCAGCTCTGCCCTGCAGCTCCTGCTGCACTTCCTCTCACTGTCCATCTGTCCAAACCTCCTCAGGGCTGGTGCTGTTTGCTTCTGCTGCTCTCTCAGAAGTTAAAATTGATGAGGAAATTCTTTGCTTTTCCTGTAACCCTGAAGATTCCACCTGTGTGGTTTGTGTGAGAGCTGTGCCCAGCCATTCTGGTAGTGCATCCCTGCTTCTTGCTGGGTCTCACTAGGAAACCTGAATTCCTTATTTCTGAGGGTGTCATTGCCTTGCTTCATAGGAGTAGATCTGGCTCTTGGTTCTGTTTTACACATCAAGAAACAAGTCCTGCAGAATCCTCTGGTGGTCACAGCTCTGCTTTGTGCTGCAGCAGAACGTTGTGGTGGTGCTCCTGGCTGAATTTATGTGGTGTTTTATTCTCTCTCTGCCAGGTCCTTCTTTACAACCTAGAAACAAACCAGTGTGTGACCAAGGTGGGCAACTCCATCGGTGACTTCTCCTGTGTCAACCTCCACAGCAGCCCCCCCAATATGCTGGTGGCAGGCAACAAGGACAGAAGGTAGGTGATCCCCAGAGCCCACCTCCAGCTTCCTGTCCTACATCTGGCCCTGCTGCAATTGGTTTCTCCTGTTGTGTTTCCATGAAGTTGAGGAACAAACTATTAGGTAATAGTTGGATGTGGCTGTGAGTGTGCTTTGTCTGGGAAGCTCCATGGGAAGAGGAGCTCCCGGAGCCATTTGGTGGACACAGTTGGTGCACAGCCCAGCGAGACCACTTGGAATATCTTCCACTTCCCCACCACCACCCACAAAATGAGTTTGGCATTTAAAAGCTCACTTTCTGATATTAAAAACATAACCTAAGGGATGAATCATGGAGGATGAGATGGGCCCGGCTGCCAAATGATGTCAAAAGTGTATTTGGGAACACTGTGATGTCCCTCAGGTGACAGAGAGAAAAAGAGACTTTCATATGAACAGATTCCAGCTTCTATTTAGCTGATTAGCAGCTTTCTCTTTAACTCCTTGGCTTGGGGAGTAGGATTTTCCCAGCTCAGTGTCTGCTGCCAGGAATGGCCGCGCTGGGAACAGGCAGTGTGAAAGGATTAAAGTGCTTAAAAAGACCCTTTGAGTCCAATTTTTAGATTTCCTTTTTTTGGCGAGTCGTTTGTGGGGTCTGATCCAGTGCACCAAAGGAGATGTGGGATGGCCAGGAGCCAGTCTCTAATGGCTCCTGCTTCCTTCCCTCCTCCTTTCCACACTGGGCACCAGGCTGCAGGTGGTGCTCTGCTCTGGTGCTGGGATCAGATTGGAAGGCGGGCACTTCCCTCTGCCAAATCCCAGACCTCTGTCCCGCCAGTGCAGCAGCTTGCAAAAATGATTATTTTGTCAAACAGCTTTTTTTTTTTTCTTCCTTCCTGGAGAATAGGGAGTGCAAGCAAACCTCACACTTTCTCAGCAAGGAGGATAAAGGAAATAGCTGAAGTTTGACAAGTGGAATTGAATCCCTGCGAGGTTTTTTTCCTCTAAAAGCAGATAATTGATTTTCCAAAGCACCCCAGTAAAGCTACCTCCGTTTTTGATCTCCTGCACGATGACAGGAGAGGATCTGGAGTTAATATCCCTCCCCTTTATAGCAGAGTGGGTGTCTGTGCCCTTCACCTCCAGAAAGCTTTAGGGGTTTTCAGCATTAGCACTGACTGGGTTCAAGGGCTTGCATGTCACTAGAACAGCAAGGAGTTTGGGATTAATAGTTGGGAAGGTAAGTTTGGCATCCAGGAGGCAGGAGCAGAGAATCTCAGAGGTCACATCCTCCTGTGATGCTGCAGGAAGGTGCTGGGCATCCACAGGTGGAACGAGACTGGAATCTCTATGGCCATATTATGGAGTGAGTTTATTAAACAGGGACCTTGCCCTGGGAGCTCAGGCTGCTGCTGGCCAGAGGGAACACTTAGTGCTTGAATTAATTACAGCAATTTCCCAATTTCACTTGAATCCGCTCTTCTTTTACTCAAAACCACGATTTTGAAAAGTAATAACTCATGAAATGTTTTTGGTAGGACCTGTAAAATCTGTCTTTCCATCTGAAATTCCTGCTGAAGCTCTGCTGATTGATTTGATTCCTGAGCTGTGCTTTGCTCTGGCAAGAGGCCTCCTAGCAGGGAGCGTGTGCTGATCCTGCTTTTCCTTGGTGGAAGCTGGGGTGGAGAGGAGTGCTGGGAAAGCAAACATATGGCAAACCCAGAAAGGTGTGGATCCAAACGTGTTCCATGCAGTCCTGAAGGCCAGGCAGCTCACTCCCAAGGCAGGGAGGACACCTCCCTGGAGCTGGGATGAGTCCAGAGTGCTCCCACTGAGCCCAGCTGTCCAGGCAGGACCTGCTGGGCCAGGTTTGTGTTGCAGCATTGGCAAAGCACTGTTCCTTTTTTTCCTTAAGGCACGTCTGAGCAGCCAAGTGTGCCTCTGGCTGTCCCAGGGGTGTTCCAGCATGGACACCTGCCTGAAAGCTGGGTGCCTCCTCATGGGATGAGCAGGGCTCGCTCAGCTCTTGGCTTCCAGCTGTGCTTTCCAAACAGGAGCAGCTTTGGTTGCTGTGAGAACACACACAGGGCAATGGGGAGAGCTCCAGGAGTGAGCCCTTCCAAAAACCCCATCCTTGCCCAGATCACAGCCCCAGGCTGCAGCCAGAGCTGCTCTGTGCTGGAGCTGGGAGAAGTCCTGGCTGTGGGATGGGCTGTGCCACACAGAGCACTCCTCACCCTGCCCTGCTGGCTTTTCTCCTTGTCACACTCAGATGGATGCTGCTCTGCTGGAGCTCTGGACTCTGCTGCCTTGTCTCTCAGCCCCTGAAATGTGTTGTTTGTAAAATCCTATGATGCAATCTCTGGAGAAGGGGAAAGGAAGGACTTGCAGCACCATTAGGATCCTAGCAGGGGTATGGAATGAAGCATAGTTAATGTGTTGGAACAAGTGTGTTTTGGCTTTTTGTGGAATTAATGTGTACCTGATGGGTTTGTTCCTGATAGCCATCAGCTGGGAGGAACTTGCTCTGGCTTCTTCTCAAATCTGAGATCAGTGTTTCCCCTTTCCTTCTGTTTTCACTTGCTGCATTTTTTATTTATTTATGTACTTTGCTTTATCTTTTAGTCTTGATAAATAAGAATCAAACCCCACACTCCTCTGTGATATGAGCTGGGTTTAAAACTTAACACCATTAGCTCTAACTGATACTGTGGCCTTGTAGCAGTGCTTGGAATCCTAAGCTCTTTTTCTGTAGTTCTGCTTCTGGCTGAGTCTTCAATCTATTTCTCTTCAAACTGCTTTGTGTGAGTGGTAAATAATGTGCAAAAATCAGATGTACCCCAAAACTGCCCACAGTCAGTTGCATTTTTGAAGTCAAAGCAGATCCTGGTTGCTGGGTGCTTGCTTTGAATATTGGTGATTAAGTCAAGGGTATGAACCTGTAATTCCTTGGCTTTCTTGAATTGCCACATGTGTAAATCTCCTCTGAAATCTTTGCAATAATAATCCTTTTCTTTGATCCTGGTAATATCACCCCTCATCCATAGTGGAAGTGAGCATGTACCGAGGGCTGGGATGTGTTGGCAGCCCAAAAGGGATATTTCATGCCTCATGGCATTGCTGGTGATCTGGGAGGCACAGAGAGAGGAACTTTCTCCAAATTTCACTTTTATTTTATATCATAATTCACAGAATCATGGAATGATTTGGGAGAGACCTTAAAGCTCATCCAGTGCCACCCCTGCCATGGGCAGGGACACCTCCCACTGTCCCAGGCTGCTCCAAGCCCCAATGTCCAACCTGGCCTTGGACATTCCAGGGATCCAGGGACAGCCACAGCTGCTCTGGGCACCCTGTGCCAGGGCCTGCCCACCCTGCCAGGGAACAATTCCTTCCCAATATCCCATCCAGCCCTGCCCTCTGGCAGTGGAAGCCATTCCCTGTGTCTTGTCCCTCCATCCCTTGTCCCCAGTCCCTCCCCAGCTCTCCTGGAGCCCCTTTAGGCCCTGGAAGGGGCTCTGAGCTCTCCCTGGATCCTTCTCCTCTCCAGGTGAGCACCCCCAGCTCTCCCAGCCTGGCTCCAGCCCTTGGAGAATATCCATGGCCTCCTCTGGACTCTCTCCAGCAGCTCCAGGTCCTCTCTTTGCTGAGACCCCAGAACCCTCTTTAGGTCCTAGACCCTGTAAAGACTCAGGGAGGTCCTGGTATGGTGGGAGAAATCTGCCTGGAAAAGATCTTTGATAGCAGAAGTCAGGGTGAAAGTTCAGTGCTGAGGAGGGGGCTGGGCCTCACTGGTTCTCCAGCTGTGGAACAGCAGGGGCCCTGCTGCTGCCCCAGATGTGTTCCCATAACCCCAAACCCTTGTGCCAGCAGAGCCCACAGGCTGTGTGTCCAGAGCTGTTTGTATCCCTGTTTGTATCCGTTTGTATCCCTGTTTTATCCCTGTTTTAACCCTGTTTGTATCTGTTTGTATCCCTGTTTTATCCCTATTTGTATCCCTGTTTTATCCCTGTTTGTATCCCTGTTTTATCCCTATTTGTATCCTTGTTTTATCCCTGTTTGTATCTGTTTGTATCCCTTTTTTATCCCTGTTTTTGCCCCTGTTTGTATCCCTCGTTTTATCCCTGTTTTACCCTTGTTTTACCCCTGTTTTATCCCTATTTTGCCCCTGTTTTACCCCTGTTTTCTCCTTGTTTTATCCCTGTTTTTACCCCTATTTTGCCCCTGTTTTACCCCTGTTTTCTCCTTGTTTTACCCCTTTTTTTACCCCTATTTTACCCCTTTTTTCCCCCTGTTTTTCCCCCTGGTTTACCCCTACTTTACCCTATTTTCACCGTGTTCCTCTCCCTGTTTCCCTGCAGGGTGAGGGTGTTTGACCTGCGCTGTGCCCAGGCCGTGTGCTCTGTGTATGGCCACCAGCTGGGAGTGTCTGCAGTGCAGATGGACGAGTGGAAAATCGTCAGTGGAGGGGAGGAGGGGCTGGTGTGTGTGTGGGACCAACGCATGGCCACCAAACTCTGGGAGATGCACGCCAGGTAACTCGGCCTGGGGGTGTCAGGGCTGAAGGAGGATGTGGGAATGAGAGAATTTTGGGGCTGTTCTGTGTTTTTTGGGGACAGGTTGTTTCCCTAGCTGGAGTCCTCTGTGGTTTTTTAGCTGTCATGGCTTTTTTACTCATTAGCTGAGTGTTTCAGTCAGTGTTGGGGAGCAGGGAAGTTGTTCCTGTAATGGGGGTATTTGCACCACTTAATTAGTGGCTTGTCTGAAGTTGTTTTTTTTTTTTTCTTCATTCAGAGCCAGGATTTAAAAACACAAATTTTCTCATGTTTGGACTTGGTTGTTTATTAAATCTTACTTAAAGTACAGAGAGTTCAGCAACACTACCAGCTACCAGCTAAAAGTGAGCAAAATGAAGGTGAAATGAGCTACTTACAAGGTCTCTTAAAGCTAAACAGTTCAATAGAGAATTAACACCTATATTATTTATACTTTTGACCCAATGACCAAAATCCTGTGATCACAGTGCAGCACCAATTATCCAACCAGAAACTACTGCCTGAAATCATGGAGAAGAAGGAGGAAGAAAACAGAAAGGAACAGCACCCAAAATTCTCCATTTTGTCCCATACCTATAAATACATTATAAAAACCTCAAATTCAAACCCCTTCACCCTGTGAAATCACACACTTCTGTTTAACTACACACCCATGATTTAAACTCCATCACTCAAATTTGGAGCCTTCTCCAAGGCCTCAGGTCTAAAGCAGTGTTCTCCTGGGGGTCAGTGCCAGAAAGTACAGAAAGCTCAAAAATCCCAGGTTTGTGGGATCCAACAGTTCCCCCTGGACTTGCCATGGAGTTCAGTCAGTGACTTCTCCCTGCCCCATCCCCAGCCTGTGTTTAGTTGTGGAACCTTGGGTTTAAAGTGCTGCACTGGCTGTTTTGAGAGTGACTGGTTCTGGCTGTCTCCATGCAGTGTATCCATCACAGTCCCAGTATTTTTGTTCACCTCATCCACACATACCCTTAATGGTGAGGATCTAAGCATTTAAGCTCATTTAAATATTGAAATATTGGTTTGTACTGAGCACAAGGAGCACAGTACTGAAAGTACAAGCAGATATCAGCATCCTGGAGCTGACACTGTGTACAGCTAAATGAAGATTTCCTGATCAAAGCACAATTCCCAGGCTTTGTCTGGATAAAGACTTGAGGATTTAGCCCCTTGTAAGTTGAGTGCTATCCATAAAATGAACAGATAAATCCTGATTTCTTTTTTTTTTTTTTTTATTATTTTAATGCATCTTCCCCAAAGAGGAGCTAGATGAGGTATTTACAGCCAGGGAAGTTCAAGCTGGAGTTGTCATTGATTAATAGCAGGTATCACTTTCTGTGTTGACCCTGGGAATGATAAAGCCTGTTGTGATGTGGCTGATGCATTAAGGACAATATTCCATTGATTGTCTCCTTGGCATGCTCATTAGTGCTGCTCCAGGAGCAGAGCAGGGCTGAGCTCAGGGATGTACTCCAAGTGAAACCATTCGATTAAACATGTAGAAAACAGTGTTTAATCTATAGAGTAATCAGAAGGGATCACTTCAATCAAAAGGCTTTCCTAGATAAGGTATGTGCTGTTATCCCAGCAATGGAAAACAGGAGCAGGAGCTGAGGGAGGTGACAGGAGACACATTTGGAGTGTGGAGATGAGCCATGCTCATCTGAGGAGAGAAGTGACTCCTGCTTGAACAGAAAGTGCTGTTCTTGGGGTTTGGGGTCAGTTATTCACCAGGGAGAGGGAAAGGAATGAAGACCTGACTTGAGTGTCCAGAGGAGGGGCATGAGGATGAGGATGGGGCTGAGGGCACCCGGAATGTTCAGCTGGAGCAGAGGACACTGAGGGGAGACTCCTCAGGGGCTGCAGCTCCAATCTCTGCTCCTGGGACAGGGACAGCACCCAGGGCAGGGCTGGAGCTGGGCCAGGGCAGGCTCAGGCTGGAGCTCAGGGCAAGGTTCTTCCCCCAGAGGGTGCTGGGCACTGCCCAGGCTCCCCAGGGAATGGGCACGGCCCCGAGGCTGCCAGAGCTCCAGGAGCGTTTGGACAGCGCTGCCAGGGATGGACAGGCTGGGATTGTTGGGGGGTCTGGGCAGGGACAGGGGCTGGATCCATGATCCCTGTGGGTCCCTTCCAGCTCAGGACATTCTGTGATTCTGTGAGTCATGCCTCAGAGTGACTTCTTATCTTGTGCCTCGTGCATTTCTAACCCAGCTCAGTGCATGGGTGTGTGGGGCGTCCTTCCCCTTCCTTTTGGGAAGCATCCTGCCCTTCCCGGGGCTGCTGCAGCCCCTAGGGCAGCAGCCCAGCCCAGCCCCATCCATCCCTCACAGCCCGTGCTCTGCCAGCTTCCCAGCAGCATTTTCTGGCCTCCCTGTGTGTTGTGGGAAGAGCCCACTAGGTGGGGATAGAAGATGCGGGATGTGCTCCGGGCTGGGAGAGCCGGCAGTGCAGGTTCCCAGCCTGTGGCCATTGGGAGCGCGCTGATTTCAGTCACTCCGTGTTTAATCCAAAGGCATTCCTGTGCCAGCACTCGGACTTCGGGGAGTCCAGTCCTCACCCCGAGCTCTGGGTTGTTTTGCAGACATCCAGTCCGCCACGTGTGGTTCAATTCCCACAGCCTGATCACTGCCAACATCCCCGAGGAGAAGAACCCCCGAGGCTCCAGCATCAGCGATGATGACCCCAGCTTGCACCGAAAGTGAGAAACCAGCCCTCAGCAATCTGCTTTTAAATAGCACCCTGAGCACCTGACTCATCACCCAGAGCACTTACAGACAGGGTATAGCAGCAAAAAAATGAAATTTAAAAAAGTTTAAGGGTAAGGTTTATAAAACAAGTGATGATTTGGCTCTTGATTTGCTTGAGCCCAAAAAAACCAGCTTTTTTTTCCTCAGCAGGGGAACATAAAGACCACTGAAGCCAGGCAGAGAATGCAGCCCTCTCCATGCTCGAAATATTAGTAATGCTGTCTCCTCCTAAAGGAAAACTACTGGCATTTAAGCTGCAGGTTTTGGTATTTGCATCTCAAATGGCTGTTAGTGCTAATTGAACTATCAAATACCAATGTATTTATCTTCCCCCGTGCTGGAGAGCCTGGAGATGTTTCAGCAGATGACAGTCACGTCTGTGCAGGGCTGGAGGGAATGATTCACCAGCCCTTCCCAGCTCGCTGGGTCCCTGGGAGGAGCAGGAGGAGCTTTCCCTGTTCAAAGTGCTCAGCTTCCCACAGGAGGGATGCAGGTTTTTATCCAGCTCCTGCAGCATGGCATTTTTCAATTCAGATGATTTTTATAGTGATCTCTGCCTCTGTTTGCTCTCCCACACTGAGGTGCAATGCTGTGTCCTGCTTGTTTTCCACACAGGTACCGAGGGGTCATTTATTCCTACGAGTTCTCTGTGGACCAGCTGGCTGTGGACAGTGTCCTCCCCATCTGCCGCTCCTCCTACGATGAGCTGACAGGTTACAACTACAACATCGGCCTGGCAGTGCCCTACGACAGCATCTAGGGCACAGGAGCGCCCCTGGGGCCAGCCTGGCACACAGGCAGAGGAAAATCCGTGTGGGACAAGCAGCCAAAAGCTGGTGTGGGCTGCAGAAAGCCCTGGGGATGTGAACCCCAACAGAGCGTGGCTGTCCTGGAGCACCCGCTGGAATTGTCACTCTGGACACGTCCAGAGGTCCAGCCTGGGGGAGTGAAGAGGCTGAGGAGGGACAGGGAGCACTGCAGGGTAAACAGAAATATTCCTGCTGCTTGTGGGAAGGATGTTGCAGGTCCCATTTTGGTCAGGAAGCCAGAGTGGGACACTGGAGGGGTGGGAGCTCTCTGAGGAGTTCTTGCCTACCCCAAGAGGGAAAAAAAAAAGTCACCAAGGACTTGGAAAAAGCATGTGCTGAGCCACATGTTTGAAATGTCTGTCCTGCTACTGAGCTGCTCGTTTTTGTTTTCCTTGGAATGTGCCTGGGAACAGGACAACAGGCCTGTGCACAAAAGGTTATGGTGGCTGGGAGAGGGATTGAGATGGAGAGAGGGAGGGAGGGGAAGGTTCCCTAGGCCAGGCTGGGTGCTTGGGAACTCAGCAGGCCACACACATCAAGATTATTTTAGAATAAATTATTTTTTTAATTCTTTAAAGTCCTGGATTAAATGTTTTCTAATTGTATGTGTACATGTTTCTGTGGAATTTTGTTCCTGAGCCTTTTAGGGTGAGCTGACCCCTGTTCACTGGGACAGAGGTCTGGCTCAGGTTGTCACATGTGCTCTATCTGGATCATGTCCTTCCACAGCACCTGGAGGGTTTTCAGTGCTGTCCTTGCATCCAAGCTGGGAATTGATCGTGGAACAGAAGGGATGAAGTGGCCACAGTGCCCTCCCTGGGTATGGAGCCCCAGAGCTGTGGGGAAGCACCAGGTGAAGGGCAGGGTTCAGCTGGAAACAAAGAGTGAGGCTTTACCTTAAGCCCGGGTAGCACTGACAGGTAAAACCAGTTTGGAGAACAAGAGCTCCAGTCCAGGATAGATCTTTTTACTAATCTAAAACTATTTTAATTTTTGTGATTTGTTCTTGTAAACTTACTGGTGCAAACCAAAGCTGTGTCAGTTCTGTTTAAGTTGAGGTTAAGTTTTAACTTACACCTTTTTTCCTGGGTTAGTGGAATCAGTATAAAGTACTGGGGAGAGGTGGAGGAATGTGCCCAAACCTGCAGGAGAGGGGCTGGGCTGGCACTTCACCCCTCTGCAGTCACTGAGACAGCCCTGGGTTTCACTGCTTTTCCTTCTTTGCCTTGGGGTGCTTTCCCATGACCCCTAGGCTAAAATTTCACGTTTTAGGTTTTTAAGTTACCTTTTTCCATGTGATGGATACACAAAAAAGTGCAAAGGGCAAAGCCATTCTGTCTGACCAATAAATTTGATCTGTCATAAAGCTTTGGGGTTTTTTTTATTCCTCTTCCCTTCTGGGAAGCCAGCTCCCTCCCTCCATTCCTGGAGGAGCAGGAAGTGTCATGGATGCACAGTTTGGACAAGATTCCAGCTGAAACCTGACAAATAAATAATGGTTTCTGTAGCATAAATGACTTTGGGGGTTAACTTCTGCGATGTGCTGAGCAGGGAGAGCTCCGTGTCATTGTTCTCCCTTCTCCTTATCTCGCCTCATTATCAGGGAACAGCTTTGTTCCTCCTTCATCTCCCTGCTGCAAGGAGCAGATAAGTTTGTGTGGTGCCCACGTGAGCCCTTTCCCCGGAGTCCTCCCCCTCATTTCTGCTGCTTCCTCTCCTCCTGCCCTGCCTGTGCCTTGCTGCTGCTGCGGCCCTGGAGCCCAGGGAGGGGGATCTGCAGCACCTGCACGGGCAGGTGTTCTCAGATTTGTGAGTCCAGGCTCATCTCCAGGGGGATGGAACTCTGTCCCCACAGCCCCCTTCCACTGGCTCCCAGTCACAGCTCCTCCGGGGGGTGCTCCTTTGGGTCTTTCCCCCGTTAATTAATGGAATTAATTGAGGAAGGTTGTAGCCCAGCAGTTGTGTGTGTGTTTAACTCATGCTCGTGCAGATGAGGGCTGTTGGACGTGTCCATGTCAGGAATTTCTGAGGAGGGATGTCCTGCCTCCCTGGGTGCTCCTTAGTGCTGTGCTGGAGTGGAGCAGCCAGGCTGCTGAGTTTTGGGTCGGGGGCATTGAAATGGAGCCTCTTCCTTCATTTCAAGAGCAGGAACGGAGTCACCAGAGCTGCACTGGGGACAGGAGCCACCTTGGAGCTTCCCAGCCCACTGGTACCAGTCGGGGGCAGGGAGGGGCCCGGTGTTTTGTTCCACAGGCCAGGAATGGGCACTGGGAAGGGACAAATCTGCCTTGGGTGCCTTCAGGGCTGGAGTGGAGGAGCTGCAGTCAGGACAGGTTGCACCGGTGTGCACTGAGCTGGCACAGGTGAGGCTCACACTGGAGCCACCTGCCAGGCTGGGGGACAGGGACAGCTGAGGAATCCAGAGACATCAGAGCAAGAAACAGCTTGGAATGAAAAGCCTTGAGAGTTCTGGTGTCCATTGCTGGTGGCAGCGATGCTCAGCTAAAAAAGAAGTGTCTGTCCTGGTGAGAAGGATCCCTGCTCCAAGGGGAATGTGGGATCAGAGGGGAGCTCCGTGTGTGTGTCACACACACAGGGAGCAGCTCCAGGGCTGCAGAGCCCTGCTGCAAAATCCCCACTGCCCCTGCTCTGTCCTGGGCCAGCAGAACAGAAAGTGCATTTTGCCTCTGCTTTGTGTCCTCAATCACCCTGGCAGTGAGGCAAGAGCCACCCTGGTGTTTCAGGGGCTGCCATCCCTGTATCCCGATCTGTGTGTGGTGGGAGGAGGAGCAGGGAGTGTATTTTTGTTCAGAGAGATGCTCCGGGGGTCTCTGAACCCCCTTTCTCTCCCACCCTGTGGCCCTTCCCACCCAGCTCTGCCTTTCTGCCCTGCCCACCTCTGTCCCTCCGTGTCCTGGCTGCTGTCACAGGGGTGAATGCGGGTGCACTGAAGTGGTGCAGGAACTTGTTCATGTCCTCTCTACCCCCTCTTCTCCTCCAGTGACATTTGCCTGCTCATTTCCACCTCCTGGAGATGGTTCTGAAACTCCGGGTACGTGGAGCTGGTGTCCTCCAGCCCCTGCTGCTGGAGGGGGAGGAGGGGCAGCAGTGACTGGAGGCCCTGTAAGCAGATAAGTACTGGTGGATGATGCAGTAAAACCTGGGGAAAAGGGGCTGTTCCAGGTCAGGGTTTGTGCCACTGGCAGATCTTTATCCAGAAACGTGGACCTCCAGCCTCTCGGCCAAATTCCTCTTCATGGAAGAGCTGCAGGTGGGGGTTTCCTGTTTCACTCCTGCCTCAGACAATGCCACTCAAAGGAATAAGGAACTCCTCAAAATTTAGCTTACAAATATCAGCTGTAAGTGGCTGCCCTGGTTCCATGCCTGTGGGGTCTGTGCTGCCTCCTGCCCTCCTGCTCTTCCCTCCCTTCCTGGGCAGATGTCCCCTTGTTTGGTCTCTCCTGCCATTCCCAAGCTCCAGGGTGAGGAGGATGGATGAGGGGGAATGGTGGGAGGTGGGTCTGTGTCTCCTCTCTGCCACCTGCCCAGGGTCCCTGCCCTGCAGTCCTGGGGTCACTCAGTGCCCATTTCCATCCTGGGGTCACTCACTCTCCAATCCCAGGAGCTGCTGCTCTCTCCGATGCTGCTCAGTCTTTATCAGCCTCCCTGGAGTTTTCCCATGTGTGGTAAAGCAGCTTCAACTTCCCAATGACCCTCTACTGGATATTCCCATTGCTGGGATCTGCCACAGAGCTTTGTGCCATGTCCCAGGGCTCAGTGTCCTGGCCCCACAACAGAACATTTTCCTTTATGGAACGCTCTGGGCTCTGCAGGATTTTGCTGGGCAGAAGCATCGCCCTTGCCAGGTTTCCTGGGGCTCTGCCAGATTTTCCTGTGATTTTCAGGATTATTATCCTCGTTTTGCTGGGGTTTGCTGTGTGGAACATCAACACTGTGTTGTGCTGGAGTGATGCTCCTGCCCATCCTTGGGGTCCTTCACCTCCATCCCTTTGCTGGGCTGAGGTTTAGGCTCGATTTCCCTGCTCCCTCCCTCTCACCTGCTCTGTCCAACCCTCTCTCCTCCTCTCCATTCATCCCATTTCCCACAGAGAATTCTCAGCACAAGCAAAGGGAAAACGCTGCAAAGTTTGTGTTGGGTCCTGCTTCTGTTTCCCAACCTCCCACACTTTCCTTGCCATAGAATATCAGGGGGCAGCTAATTAACTCAGGGGACAGTAATTATCCATCCCCTTCATTCCTCCCGGCCTCTGCTTCCCTGCATTGCAGGGCGTGCCCAGCCCTTCCTGGTGTGGATCCTCTGGGATGATTCCTCCAAGGAAATTGGGGTGTGGAGGGGGAGTGGGACCCCGATCTTGTGTTAACCCCTGCAGCCCCAGCTGGGAGATTTGGGGGCAGAAAAGGACCTTGCAGGCACCCGGGCCTGTGACTGGGAGCACGGAGCTGGATTAGGGAGTGGGATGGTCCTGTAGCGTCTGTATGGAAATTTTAGTGGGAAAACAAGGAAAAGAGCCTGGGCTGGCTGCGGAAACCTGGAAATTTGGGGAGGAGTTGGGTGTTGTGTTCTGGTGTGCCTGGGGTGGGGAGGAGCACTGAGGGTCTGGCACAGGGGGGAGGAGGAGGAGGAGGAGGAGGAGAGGTTCAGCAGGAGGAGCAGCAGGAGGTGGTGCCCGGGCCATAGGGATGCCCAGAGGGCCCCGAGGAGAGCAGGAGGGAATTCCAGAGCCCCCCAGGCTGTGGGGCAGCACCAGGAGCCCTGCAGGGCCCGAATGGCTCCTCCGGGAGAGCCGGGAGCTCCATCCCCGCCATCCCCTCCCGATCCCCGGCTCTTCCCCCCCAGCCCAGCCCAGCTCAGCTCCAGCTCCTCAGCCCCGAACTGACCCGCCCGGTGCCGGCAGCGCTGTCCCCTGGCTCTGTGTGACATTCCCAGCCTGGAGACGGGATCAGCTCCATCCCAGCCTGGAGATGGGATCAGCTCCATCCCAGCCTGGAGACGGGATCAGCTCCATCCCAGCCTGGAGACGGGATCAGCTCCATCCCAGCCTGGAGACGGGATCAGCTCCATCCCAGCCTGGAGATGGGATCAGCTCCATCCCAGCCTGGAGATGGGATCAGCTCCATCCCGCGGGGTCAGCCCCGGGCCAGCCGAGCCGTGCGGGTCCCTGCGGGCCAGGACTGCATTGCAGGGAAGGGCTCTGTCCTTCCCCGGCAGCTGCGGCTCCGGGAGCGGCTCCAGGCTGAGCTCCAGCGGCTCCGAACGGACTCGGGACTTCGGAGGGGACAGAGCCTGGGAGGAAAGCCCTGAATGCTCCCTCAGTGTGGGGGTGCCTGAGCAGAGACCCCCAGTAATGTGGAAAGAAGGAGGAAGTGTTGTTATCCTGAGGCAGGGATGCTCTGGGTGCCCCAGGGATGCTCTGGGTGTCCCAGGGATGCAGGGGGTGCCCCAGGGATGCTCTGAGTGTCCCAGGGATGCAGGGGGTGCCAGCAGGGTCGGGGGGCTCCGCATCCCCCGCTCCCCCAGCCCTTCACCTGCTCCCATCGCCTGCTCGTGTCACCAGGGGAAACTATTTTTTGATAAAACAAATAAATCTTCTCTGCTTTTCTAAAAATAGCCCTTGCCCTTTTTTCTCCCCCTCCCTTCCTCCCTCCCTCCCCAGCTCAGGCTGCCTTAGAGACAGAAACCCGCCTGGAGCCATCCAGTCATTAATGGCAGTAAACAACCCCCCGTCTCCGGTGCCTTGTTCTAGCGGGAACATGTGGGGGCAGGAGCCACCTGGTTGCCAGGATCCCACGTCCCGCGTCCCTGCTGCTTCCTCGGGGCTCCTCCTGCCTGGCTCCGGCCGGCAGCACAGCCCGGGGGCTGCTTTGGGATTAAATTGGGAATATTCCTTGTGTCGCTGCCACCACCTTCACTGTAGGATGCACAGTGGGGTGTGGTTGTCCCTGCAGGTGCTGAAGGTGCTGCCTTCACCTCCTGCCCCTCTGCATCCCCATCCCTGCCTGTCCCCATGGCCTGGGATCAGCCCAAGAGGGGCAGCTCCTTCCCCACAGCAGCAGTGACAGAGGTTAAAAATCCAGATTTATGGGGCAACCAGGACTTGTGGAGGCTTTCTGCTCAGGGAAACACTCCTCCATGGATGGATGGATGGATGGATGGATGGATGGATGGATGGATGGATGGATGGATGGATGGAGTATTTTTCAGCGAGGACTAAAAAGAGAAATATCTTTTATTACAGATAAAAGCCTCTGATGTTTTAGAGAGCAGAGGGCAGCCCCAGGGTGGAACGGGCACACGGGTGGGGCAGAGCCATGGAGCTGGGAGCCAGGTGCCAGGACATGGAGCTG